TGTGTGTGTGTGTGTGTGTGTGTGTGTGTGTGTGTGTGTGTGTGTGTGCGTGTGTGGCAGAAACTGCAAAATCATTTGCTACAAGCATGAAAAATGGATTATGATTTAAATTTTGCTTTCAAATATCTGCTCACTTGTATATGTGGGCGTTTGTTTTTATACCTAATATGATGCCGTTGGGGGATGCAGGTGGCTGCCAAACCACCCTAACGGATGACAATCGAACTTCTGGAAACACCATCCTGACAGGGGGTCCTGGGACTGGAGAGAAAAATAGAGAAAGGAGTTGGCAGCAGAATTAAAAGATATTAATACACAATTTAAGAGAAAAGCAGCAGCGGCAAGAAAAAGAGGCTCAAAAGAAGTGCTTCAGTTCGGTAATGAGAAAAAGAGTATCTCAGCATCTGGCTCTTATACTGTAATATGTTAGCATTATAGCACACAGATGTACGTGCATATGCTCTCCACATATACACGCCAAAACACACACAGACACACGCACACACACACACACACAAATATATACATTGAGTGAGTTTGTTACACATCTTTAAGAGGTACTTGTAAAAGACACAAAACAGAAAATGTAATTTCTTTCAGCCTCACTTGGGCTGTCGTTGTTCCTGATAAAAGCACATGTTCCACACCAGCAAATACATGTCAATGTATGTCTGTGTGTGTGTGTGTGTGTGTGCTTGTGGGTACAGTAGGTGTATGTGTAGGTTCATTATACATCGCCGGGAATTGACTTCCTCATTCTTGTTTCATCCTGAAATGAGAAAAACTTTTCAAACGTGACACCGTTTGATAGAGGAGAGCGAGTGTGTCTATGAGAGTTTCAGTCTGTGTGTGTGTGTGAGCAGATGTGAGTTTCTGTGCGTATGTGTGAGTGCCCAAGTGTACTTCATGATTCAGAAAAGAACAGGCCAGGTTACTGCCACCCTGAAAAGTCTGCCGTGGTTACCAGGTTGATGCAGAGGCGTGGAACACATGAAGAAAAATACCCACGGCTGGGTGATTAATGAAATCATTGATTATGTTCTTTCATGCTTCTCTAAAATGCCTTACTCGCTGTTTAGTTCAGCTGCAGCAAAGATGACACAAAGAGGGCCTTTTGTAATCAATCAATCTGTATGTAGGAGGTAAAAGTTATAACAAAAGTATCTGTAGATGAATCTGCAGAAGAATCAGAATGATCTCCTTTGTCTCTCGATCACAGCAACTCTTTTATAATGCTCACTTCTCCTTTCTGTCCATGTAGATCCCTTGAAGGCCTGCGTTTGTGTTTGCCACTTTCTCTTCCCACACACCTCACATGATGGCAACAGATGACTTTATGACCTTGTAAATTCATAGCTCGGGGTTTAAGGCAAATTCACAGACTTGCCATAACCCCAAACACATAAATCTGTGCCCCCTACCAACTTATTTATTTATTTAATAAACAAACAACTTTCAAAGTTTAATAAATCTTTGTTTTGTTTTTCTAAAGTCAGCGACAAATCATGTTGAATATTCACCAAATATTGAAGAAAACAGCTTTAATTATGATTTTTGCCAGATTCAAACAGCCCAAAATATCCACATACTACAGCTACAGAGGCAGGTGCACCTTCTTCTTTTTTTATGCAGTTGGTGTGCCACAGGGATGCGTATTAGGACTACTGCTCTTCTTCATACAGCTAGGTCAATAAGTATTTGGACAATGACACTATTTTTGAAATTCTGCATGCAACACTTTCTTTCAAGACTTTGGTGTCCCTGAGTTGGCCAGAGCATCTCTTTTTAAGATTTTACCAGATTCTAAATTTGGTAGATTTATTTTGTTTTTTCAGCCTAATGATGGCTTCCCTCGCTTCTCTACTCAATCAACATCTGATTTGGATTTCATACTGAGAGCTCCAGTGAGCTTCTACCAAAAGTAAATTCAACAATTAGAATTAACTCCACTCCACTCCACAGAACAGCAGTAAACAGTTCCAAAACTATACTTTTGTTAAATCCCTTGAGTTGAAAGTGAAAGTCTGAACTTCAAATTCCATGTTGATTTTTTGTTTCCTACTCCACTATGGTGCTGTACAAAGTCAAACGTTAAAAAAAAAATACATTTTGTGTGCTCTTACGGACAGTGCTGCAGTCTGCCTTTGATGTTGCTCAGTCTTGTTCAACTCCTCTTAAGCTGTGTTAAACACAGAAAAATCCAACTTTATGGTATTTTCAAATTGCAAAGAGTTGCCGTCTAATCTTCCTAACGTCATAACTATTAAAAGGGCTGAAACTGAAGTGTTCAGAACACATATGTATTTAGGCAATATTACAGATCATATCTTATCATATAAAATTCACACTGATAGGTCCATCTAACAAGTACAAATCTCTCTCCCTCCAGGTGTGGAAACCCTTGACTTCTGCTACTTTTACTGGACGGGCATCTGATCAGCATCTAGAAAAAGTATACTACTCTCTTTGAAGGTTTATGGATGGATGAATTTGTATGACCACAGACTTCATAATGGCAGATTTTTCCTCTTATCTGTGTATATGGCAGACAGAACTGGTTACAATGCAGGAAGTCAATTTTAAAGGACTGAGAAAACAGTGCTCTTGGTCATGGGGACTTCCTTTGAAGTTGCAGTGGCATTCGCTTTAAACTGAACCTTTTTGTTCCTGATGCATTATGGATCTGGGTCTTATTTGCACTTGCTTGTGCTGTGTGTCAGTTATATGCGTGTGATTACTTGTGATTGTCTGTAAGTGATAAATCCCACTTGGACACATCGCTCTTGAATTAGTACTTACAAGATAGAAGATATGAAAACATATATTAAAAAGCTGGTGATTAGACAGGGTAAGAGAAAACTGGGTCCTACCATCTTCTTTGGTTCTTAGCAGTATGCGGTTGCTGGGTGGGCCGTCACCCATACGTGTGTATGCCAGCACCTGCAGCACATACACTGTGTATTTTTGGAGGGCCCCGAGGAGCAGCGACACACTCCCCTCTCCTTCTGCCACCTGAACACTGGGGGGACCTTCTGAGTCTTTCTTGCTGTATAAAACCTGCACAAAACAAATATATCTCACATAAAAAAGAAAAAAAAAACATACACAGAAATGAACAAACACGTCTAGCAGTCTGTTTCAATTTTGTTCAGTGTCTGTAGCCTAAACACTCCTATCTTAGATGTACCTCAGGCTACTGCAATAATTATCTGAATAACAATAACAATAACAATAATATCCTATTTTTTTATATACAGCACAGAATGCAACACAGTTTAAAGAAATTAAGTAATAAATTCCAAAATATAATCAGTTAAGGCTACAAAACAGCAGAACATAAAAAAAGCAAATTAAAAAAACAAACAAAACAACAACCGATGTGCATCTCCGTGTAGGGTCACAGCGAGGCAAAGCTTTGTTTCCAGTGTTTAAATGTGCAGGACAAAGCACCATTATGCTTAATCAGTGTTCACGTCTCAGTCTATTGCAGGTGATTCTTTACTTAGGTGAATTTGGACATCTGATATATTTGACTTTTTATAGTTTGTGATCAAAAGGTTTTTACACTACCTGGTTTGCACTGAGCAAACATCCTGGAGATTATTTTAAGGACCCCAAATCTGTATTTTCTAAGTTATTAAGGTGACACAATATTAGTGTTCCATCCATTATCTGCTTTGCAGCACATAACTGGGTCAAAAACACATAAAGTTATTCTCGGTTCTAAAAAAAATATTTGTTTTTCACACAGGCATACAAAGTGTATTTGTTTTTCAGCTGCTGGTTTAGTGTGCTTGCAAGTATTTCTAACACTAGAGTGGTGTGCGTGGAACTGACTCACAATACAGTGCCAGTGCTAATCATAGCCAAGTCAACGATGGAGCGCGTGAGCCTGAGCGACGATGTGACTCAGCGATGTGTTTTTGACAGCCACGGAGGACAACGGCACAGAAAAACAGGCTTCATCACCTCAAACAACAAAAAACGATCCTAAAATTAAAATGACATTACTGCCAGCCACTAAGAAAACAAAACGGTGCACGCTGTATTTTTACAGTTTCGGATTTTAAAAAAAATATGTCAGGAGCTGCTCGCTCTTGTTTTTGTTCTTCGTTTTTCGCCTTTTCTTTTTTTTAATATTCATGAGCGTGAACATCAATACCGCACACTTAAAACCATTTGAAGGAAAATGTCACCTTAAACCCAAGTGTCTAAAAACAGAAATAGTCTTAAGGAGTGCACAGCAGGAAGCAGCAGCAACTATTCAGCATCTACTAGCACATGGAAGGTGTTAAAAAGCTGCTGCTGGCAGTCACTTCCCATCTATTAACATGTTAGGCATGCAGCTCAGTGTGATCCTTAGGAGGGCACAAGAAAACACACAGATGTGGAGTGTGATGTGCTTTGGGCATGGTGGATGACCTGGATTCCACACAGCATTTTTCCTTTTTTTAATAGATGGCACCGGTTTATATCAGACAGTCACAGCCTATTTTCCTTTGCAGATTTATGTATTTATAACACAACCATGTCCATGGGTTTGAGGATAAATTCTCCCCCTTTTAAATCTTTGTTCTGCTGTCTTGTGTTTGGGTGGAGATTAAGAGGTGAACTCACAGCTGCTTCTATATTAGCACAAATATTTTTCTTTATTTTATTTTTTCTTTTGATGAATGTTTGAGAGGCAACTTAAAAATGCAGACAATTGCTGTGTGTTTTCCTTTTTATTTAAAAGCCAAAGCAAGTGGAGTAAATACATCACTCCAGGGTGAGCTTTGGAGTCCAAAAAAACCCTACCCCGAAAAACAGGTGCACCCACACAGGTGTGACTGCCAGTGCCAAAAGTGATGAGAAAACGAGTGCACCCTGCACTTCACTATCAACACTGTTCTTCCAGCTCTTTCTCTGAAACCTGCAGCTTATGTCAAGTATGTCTTCGATGGGGCTCACAATGAGACAGACATGTCTGCTTTTTTTTTTGGGAAATATGAGAAAGGGTAAAGCTTTAATTTGGCAGATGTGGATAGACTGCAGGCTATGTATCTTTAGTGGGTGGAAAGGCTGGACTTGAATACTCATGCGGAGTCTGTAAAGCACAGTCAATCCACGAATATGCACACAAACATCCCATTTTCTTGCCTACACTGCATTTTATGTACTAAATTACAAATAAAGTAATTGCAAAACCAGCAGCCTTTGTGGATTATTGTTCGTTTTTGTGAATGAATAATCCAGCTATTGTTTCTACTACAACATCACACAAACTGCTGTTTTATGAAAGCGTATTAATCACTAAAGCCTCTCTCACATGCGTGTGTGTGATTACACGCAAATGGCCCCCAAACACACTTAGTGCAGCGGGGTGCTTTTAAAAGCATTAAAGTAGGAAGAACAAACTGGAGCAATTACAGGATGTTGCATCATGTTTAGCTTATATCAGATTGTAAGTTATATATATATATATGTGTGTGTGTGTGTGTGTGTGTGTGTGTGTGTGTGTGTGTGTGTGTGTGTGTGTGTGTGTGTGTGATTGCTGCAGGAAGTGATAATGGACTAAAGAGGTCAGGGAGGGATGCCAGGATACGACTTGCAGGTTTTATTCACCTTATATCCCAGAATGACTCCATTCTTCTGTGACTGAGGGAGAGCAGACCACATGAGCAGGATCTTGCTGGAACTCACTGCCTCGGCAGTCACATTCACTGGAGATCCAGATGGAACTAGCGAGCACACAGAGAAACACACACACACACACACCGCTCAGTGCTACTTCACTCTCTGAACCAATCTTCGATTTTATCTCAATCATCTCCTCCTCCCTCTCTCCATCAATCTTAATCTCGCTGAAACAGAGGGAGAGTGTAGAGGGCACAGAGAGGTGGCAGGATGAGAGGAGACATGGGGAGGTAATGGGAGCACTTTATTCCTCATCCATCTGCCTTCTTATACCCAGCAAATACAATATCTTACAGAGATCTCTGCTGGAAACTTGCAAAGATGAAAGATGGATCAATGAGGTCTATGTTCATACCAGATTCTGTGGTCTGTGCTGCGACAGTTTGACTCCACGGTCCTGGTCCTATAGAGTTGAGGGCTTGTATCTGAACCTGGTACTGGGTAAAGGGATTTAGACCTTCTAATGTGGCCTCACTGGTGCCCCCAGTACCCTTCACATCCTCATTCCTGTTCTCCCCCTGACCGTCTGTCTTGGACACCCGCAGACGGTAGCCCACAGTCTCTGGACTGCTGTTGTACTCAGATTCTGAAAGAGGCTGGAAGGAAACAAACAGTGAGAGGAAGAGAGGCGCAGATTAGAGAGAAATACTTGTATTTATTGTTCCTGTCATGTTGCCAAGGTCATGTTGCATTCCTCCATACTTGTGCATGGAAGTACACACGAATGCAAGAAATCAGTATAAGACTCACATCACATGGAGGAAGCTGTTTTCACAACATTCTCCCAAGCAAATCTTTTATTTATTTTTTTCATCTGATTTTGCTTTTTGTTCCCATATTGACTCAAAAAATGCAGGTGAGCATGCCACAGCCCTGAACTGTAGAAGCATCACAATAATTTGTGCAACAATTTGTGAAGTGAGCATCAATCTACTTGAGGGCAGTTAATTAATTTCGGCAGCAATTAACTGACGGGATAGAGACTAAAAAAATAATGGTTAACATGCTGATACAACAAAAAAGGAAATGTGAGAAAGTTTTCAAAGGACTCTGCAGTGCTAGAAAAAAACATACGTCCTTACTGCTTTAATAGGAATTCAGACAATAAGTATTGTATTTGATCATCAGCAAGTGTGAGCACCTCTATAAAGAGAGGTGGTTTGGCAGTTTGCTGGGCTGGAGTATTCAGGTGTTCATAACATACTACTAAATAAAAAAACAATGGCTACATCTCATGACAGTACAAATAGAAAAAGACTGTACAGGTATCTCTTGGTTGGAAGGGTTCCAGGAGAAAGACTCAGAATCAGAATCAGAAGACTTTATTTATCCCCCAAGCGGCAATTAAAATGAACATAGCAGCACAGGATAGGATTGAAAGCATGTGAACAAACCACAAAACTTCTGGAACAATGTCCTTTAGACAGACAACTTTAAAGTGAAGATGTATGGCCATAATGCAGAGCGCCATGTTTGGAGAACACAACACATCAGCACAAACACGTCACACGGCACCTTGTCGTTACTAAGTCAACTACGAACTCCTCTGTATACCAAAGTATTTTAGAGTCAAATGTGACACCAACAGCTCCGTCCAACAGGACAATGATCCCAAGCACAGAAGCAAATCTACCATTCTAACCATTCAGAATTCCCTTGAGGTATTTCTTTCCAAAGTTAAATATTTATTGCTAGGTAAAAGTGTGTTTTTAAGTGCTGTGCTGATAAAATCTGACAAACTCAAATTTCAAATAAGCCCCAACATTGCAATCACAAGTCAGAAACTGAAGAAAGCTATTTGAAATGTGAAATCGCCAAAAACCGAAAATGTGAGCATGTTGTGAAATGTAGGAGCCCGTCACTTACGGTAACAAGCTGACTGAGAAAACGGCTCTCCACAATATGATGAACAAGTGAAAAAAAGGCATTTTTGTAGCACTCGAGAATATGGTTATTTTTGTTATTGTGTCAAAGTACATCAAAAAACCTTTTACCATTTTCTTCCCTTTGACATCCCATCTCCTGATCCTTTTCTCTCCATCTACTTCTTTTCTCCATCTTAGTCACCCTCTGTCATCTTCTTTTACTCACTTCCATTAACTTCCATTTTCATTTCCTGCGACCCTCTCTTCGTCTCCTGTCCACACTTTTTCTGTCATCTCATTCTGCCCCTGACCCACCCTTGATCATGCATTACTTCCACAACCATTACTCACTGTCCTAAGATCATGTCAGCAGAAAGTTCAGGTTGCTCACAGTATATAAGTCTGCAGCAGATTTTAACCAACACTGTACACAGCGTTTGCTCTGTGCTGTGCAACAGATAAGGAAGTGAGACACCCAGTCATTTTAAATACCCTGGTGATTTAGCTCAGCTTAGCATTTAGGAGCCATAATACAGAATGTCACATTAGCTTTATTACCCTTAATATGCAGCTTAGAATAATAGCCTTAGCTAAAACCATTGTGACGGTTCCATTACAGCAGAAAACCTAGCATAGCTGAGGCTGGGCGCTAACATGCAGGTAAAATCCCATTAGCATGCTGCACAGGTAGCCCATAGCACCTCAGTGTCTGTGTCTGATTTGACAGGCTCTTTTTCTCATTCCAACTCTTAAATGGAAAATACTCTGCTCTCCATTTATGTTATAATAGAAGGGGGGAAGGGGGAGTGAAGGAGAGATGGAGGGAAAAGAGAGAGGGATGAAGAGCAGGAACAAGAGCAAAAACAGAAAAGACAGTGAGGAGAAAATTACATTGCAGTTTGTACAGCTAGCAGTCCACATGGTGAATGGGAAATGTGACAGATTAGTGTTAGCACTGATAACCAGGAGAGACACTGATTACAGCCTGTCAACCACTCAACCTGTTCAGTCCTGCTGCTGCAGAGTGCACGTGCACATAAATATGCACATGAGAACTAAAGTGGGAGCAAAGACACCGAGATGCAGCGCAAAGAAACAAAGGCAGTCCCAATTAACCCTCTCTGAAGGAGTGTAAAGGGGCAGAATCAGGGTGGAAGGTTTCACAGTTTACTGTGTGTCTGGTATGTGTGTTAGTACCTTCCACCTGAATCGCAGGCTGGTCTGTGTAGCAGACAGAAGGCTGAGGTCAGAGGGGTGTGTGTCTGGGGCAGCCTGTAAGGTCTGAATCAGCCTAGAGGGGGCGCTCATGGGACTGGATCCGACGATGTTCACCTGCTGCATCCTGAACCTGGTGCGAACAGAAAGAAAAGTTACAGGAATAGTCATTGCATACAAGGTGAGCTCATTTCACATTTCACAAAGCCAGTGAAAGCAGTTTATTGTCTTTTATGCTTTTCAGAGTCAGAAAAGACAATTCTGATAATATGATATTGATCAGGGGAGCTTAATAGGCTTGGAGACAGCAATTTATAACAATCAGGCTGTGGGGGTGTGTTCGGGTTCAATACGTTTCTTCAAATATTTTCAATTCAAGTCCCATCAGCCTCAATTTGCCTCTGAGTGTAACACTAATTAGCAAATCTCGACGTGGCGTGGTAAAGTTTCTACCTGCTAAACATCATCACTGTCATTGTTTGTCGACTCTTAGGGCTCACTAATCACACAGCTGGGTGTGAGCGGCAAATGTTTTCATTTTCAAAGGTGATGGTGCAATCTGATCCAAATGTGGAAAAGAGGCTGCATCAATTATTAACAGGAGAATACAGAAACAGCAGGGGCACGAGTTGGTAATGACCAATCACAAGCCCCTCTGCTCATCTCATCCACTCCAAAAGCAGCCCCAGATAAATCAGGGAATAGAAGACAGAGGTTCATTCTCATGAAGCACCTTTAAAATAAAACAGATATGGATAAACATACATGCTTAGCAGTAGAATGAACAGACTGTGATTGGACCTGCAGGAATATTGGGCTTTGCACACAATTACTAAAGCAATTATTTGGGACTCAGTGGTTTTTCTCCACCACTCCGCTCCGCCACTTTATTAGCTACAGCTAGTGCTGGCATGGAGCCTTTTTGCCTTCATATCTGCCTTGACTCTTCATAGATTCAACGATCTGCTGGAACCATTCCTCAGAGATTTTGCTCCATATTGACATGACAGCACCACACAGTTGTGGCATATTTGTCAGCTGCACATCGGTGGTGATCTGTTCTATTGAGATCTGGTGACTGTGGAGGCCATTTGAGAACAGTGATACAAGTTTACATGGCTCATTATACTGCTCAAAGCAACATTAGATAGATGGGTACATTGTGGTCATAAAGGTTGGCAACAATCCTCAGGTAGGCTGTGATGTTTGAGGGGCACCATTACACCATGACCAGCAGCCTGAACCAATGACACAAGGCAGGATGTATCCATGCTTTCACACTGTTTACGCCAAATTCTGATCATACCACCTGAGTGCCACAGCAGCATCATGCATGTTGTAGCTTCAGTTTCCTGTTTTTAGCTGACAGGAGTGGCTCAAGTGTGGAATTCTGCTGTTTGACGCAAAGTGTCTGATTATTCAAACAAATCCATCTGCCCCAACCATGGCACATTCAAAGTCACTTAAATCACATTCTTCACCATTCTGATGCTCCGTTTGAACTTCAGCAGGTGATCTTGACCTTTCTACATGTCATGTTTTGTTGCCATTTGATTGGTAGATTAGATATTTAGATTATGGGGTAGCTGAACAGAAGGACCTAATAAAGTGGCTGGTGAGTGCACATTAAAGACCAATAAACACGAGCAGGTCTGTGTCAAAAGTATCAGTCTTTATCCAACAGAGGGGAAAAATGTGGTTAATGTTATTTAAATCAAATTGTAATGTCTGGTGAGTTTTTTAAGTTGCGGATGAAAGGATTCACACTGCGTCACGTGTGCATAAAGTAAGCAGGTTTTTGATTTTTGCCATCCAGTTGGTCTGAGCAGAGGGGAATACAATAATCCAATAAAACCCATCAATGGTGCTTCTGCCTCCACTATCAGAGCATCCCTTTGTTTACATTTGTGCTTTTATACTCTTAACAAAACTGGAATTTGGAATCTATGAAATTAAGATCTGACCCACTCCTGCTGCATACCAAGAGGTTTAAAATGAATGAAGCCTTGGTGGTTTAAATCAGCGAACAGTACAGATAACTTCAGGAGTTTGATCAACTACATCTGAAAAATTACATTTGTTTCTCTCACTTTTTTTGAAAATCCCTGGATTACATTGATATGTAATAATCCTTTCAGTTATGCAGCTATCAAAGTGCTGTAGTAGTGCTGTGGAAAATCATTTAAGAGACGTGTTTTGTGATTTTGGAGAGTCTGACTGTGTTCTATGATAATTCTCTGTGTCTGTGAGAAGATGTGGTCTAAGCAGATTTAGGCACAAATGAAATTTCATGCCAAAAAAGGTTCACACAAATTGAACTGTGCTGCCTAATCAGCATATAACCACACTTTCAGCTGTGCTCCTTCTTTGGGCAAACATGTTTGTCTGGTGCCAGAAAATTATCAAGCAGATGCAGATCCAAGAATACAGACTTTCAAAAACAGGCTTATAAAACCTCTATTAGCTGTGTGACCTGACAGATGAGCTGTTAGTGTGCCTGGTCACTAGTTTAATTCCCAGCTGCCCAGACTGCTGTTGCATGTCTACTCGTTTTACCACATTTGTTAGAACCACATGTGTAGCTTAGGTTGGAGCACCGAGGGAGATGGAGGTTAATTGCACAAGCGCTACTTGGATTTGTCATGGATTTTAATAAATCAGATGTGCTTCAGCTAAATTTCTGGTTATATTCAAACTTTTCACTGAAAACAGGTCAGACATACAAATATCTCTGCTGTGTTAAGAATTTAAGGAATCAGTAGAGGCTGACCGATATGGCATTTTTAAAAGCAGTACTGTTATTAGAGGATTTGAAAGTCTCATACTTGGATACTTCGGCTGATATATTTTTCTTTCTGGCACACAAAACAGAATGGCTCCTAAGGCTAGTGGTTTACACATTTGCCAAACAAGTAAAAGATTCCTAGTTTGACCCAATGAAGGAGCCACAAATCCCTTTGTGTCAGTAAGGACATCCAGTGTAAAAATGTTACCTAATCAAACCTACCGTGTTGAACCCCTGTGAATAAGGGAGCAGCTGAAAGTAGCTTACACTAAACAAACAGATTTCTCTAACATTTGTGTATTTATTTTAGACAGTACACTTTATAAGTTAACTTGTTTTATAGATACAGCGAGGGATGACTCCTTTACGCTCTGAATGATCAGCTGGTTGTTGTGTTAGTGGCATTCCAAACACTTGTTGCTAGCAGGGAAGTTGTACAACACCCTCTGGTGGACAAACCATCCAACATCAATGCTGATAACATGGCTGAAGGGTGTTTCTCCTGTTTTCTTTATTTTTTAAACCAGTCATTATAAATACAGATACTGACATATCAGCCAATAGATAATACAGAGTGGCAATATCAGCCTGCTGATAAATCAGGTACATTTAGAGCTGAATAAAAACCAGGACAGGCAACTTTACCTTGCTTAGTTTTTTGCAAAAACACTAAACTCGTAAAACATTGTTTTATGTCCTGATATTAGACCCAATCCTGCAATGTTATCAAGCTGCCTGCAAGCTCACAGCAATAGAGGAGTTGCTGCTGAGTGGTTGACTGAGACCACTGGACACTGAGTGTGTGTCAGAGAGAATTACATTTACCACTCAAGGTCCAGTTGTTGTATGAACTCATAATTCATATTTTGCCAATAAAAAAGCTCTATTGGTGAGTGAAAGATACCTCCTTCTGTTAGGGGCATTTCTCTCTGAGTAATGTTAGCGTTTCTGTCCTAAACAAACCCTCTGCTTTCTTTATGCTTTTATTGGAGATGAGGACGGGGGCCAAATGCACAAGTTCCAAATATTGGGGGACACATACCCAGAAAACTACAGCTGCAAATCAAAACAAGAAAACAAACAAAAATACATTTTTTAAATGTATGTCATGTAACTTTACTGAAGAGGAAGCAAAACTTACTGAATGGAGCACAGATTAACAACCATTTCAGTTTTCTGTGCTCAGATCAAATTTGTCCCATCTCATATATATATATGATATTTCTTTCAGTATTTTGATCTGGAACTCTCCGCCAGAGTTTGTTTAGTTGACTGATAGTGCCACGTATTCAGTCAGTAAAAGTGATATAAGAAAGCAGAACCATTAGGGAGTATTTGTTACTTTTGTAACTTCTAAAAGAAGCCGTGCTTCTGTGTGGCTTTGAACGATAAACCGTGGGAGCGTGCAGGTTGTGTAAGAGGCTACATCTTTGAGTTTTTGTCCCTGTATTGGGAGATAGAGAGCAGGGTGTAAAGAGGGACTTAAAGCAGGGGATAAGAAATACTGACAAGTGCATCACTTCATCTAACGTCCCAATGGTGTCGCCTGTGACAACATAATCCCTGTGAGTGTACAGCGCGTGCATACACACACTGCAATCCCATTACAGATGAAGACCGAGATACAGAGAGCAAGAGGAAGGCATGGTCAGATTGCCCGATAAATAGAGAAGATAGGCAGACAAATAGCTAGAGAAGGAGAAGGAAAGAGCGAGAGAGAGTGAGAGGGGGAAGAGTTGCTGCTGTTCAGAATGGCGATTGATCACATACACAAAATACAAGCTCCCCCTGAGGAGGGATTACAGACACTCCGCTGTCCTCCTCCATTTCCTCCTCTCCTCGTCTCTAATCCCTTTGTCTCGTCTTCTCTTTAATGTGTTCTGTTGCCCTTCCCACTTTCTGATCACCTCTTTTCTCCCCGTCCTCATCCTTCTCCTTCCCTCTGGCTAGTTGCAGGAGGGTAATAAGGATCTGCATGCAGCAGCTGTGAAGGTGCTGACAAACAGAAAAGTCTCAGATGGAACTGTCTCTCTGTGTGTCTGTGTGATTTATCTAACTTCTCCTGAGCCCAGCAATACAGCAGAACCTGGTGCAGAGTGAGATGTGTTTGAGGAAGCTGTTGATTATATGTGTGTGTGCAGGTGGTAGCGTGGGATATGTGTGTTTGCTGCTCACCTGTACTGAGTGAAAGGAGTGAGGTCTGGGATTTCCAGAGTGTCTGCATCTGGCTGGTTGTCTTTTTGGTACACAACTTTCCACTCCTCCTCTTTTCCATCATCCTTCACCACCTGTTGAAAAGGTAATCAGATGGAAGACAGTTTCTCTTTTGCTTGATTTGTCAATAAGAGCTGACCACAAAAGTGTGCATGCAACACAAACACAGTCACACCCACCTGTCCTTCAACTATCCACCGTGATATGGCAGTCTTGCCATCAGGACCGGGTCGAAATCTCACCGTTGCGGTCCGAGGGCTGATGTTGGAGATGACTAAGTTTGAAGGAGCACCAGGAAGTTCTGCAGATAGAAAACAGAAAAAACAGTGCTTTAGCCTATATGCAGATAGTGCTTGCAAGATACCTGTCACTGCTGCATATTATTGATAATCATGCAGATATGTAAAACATTTACTGGAAAAAAAGATTATTACATGTTCCTTTTTAATGAGAACAGAAGTCTGTGTATGGCTTTAAGATGTCTTAAATATTCACTGGCAATTTCATTAGGTATAACTTTTCGACTAGTCATTAAAACAAATATTTAAGCAGCCGATCACATGGCAGCAACTCAGTGCATTTATGCATGTAGACATGGTTAAGATGTTTACTTGATGAGTTCAAACCAAGCGTCAGAACAGGAAAGAAAAGTGATTTAAGTGGCTTTGCATATGCTATAGTTGTTTGTGCCAGACGTGCTGGTATGTGCAATTTTCCCACAGAATGATCTCTAGTGTTTAAAGAGAATGGTCTGAAAAAGAGAAAATATCCAGCAAGTTCAGCTCTCTGGGTGAAAACACCTTGTTGATACTAATGGCCATACTGCTTTGAGCTGCGAGGACGGCAACAGGAACTCATAAACCACTTGTTACAACCAAGGTATGCAGAAGAATGTACGACACGACGAACGTTAAAGCAGACGAGTTACAGCAGAACAAGACCACACCAGGTGCCCGTTCTGGTAGCTACAGACAGAAAACTGGGGCTACAATTTGCATTGGATCAGCAAAAGTGTACAATGGAAGGAACAGGATTTGAACAGAAAGTGAATTTGGTGTAAACAACATGAAAGCATGGCTCCATCCTGCTTGTATAAACAGTTTCAGCTGCAGGTGGTGGTGCAATGGCGGGGGATATTCTCTTGGCACACTTAACCACAGCGTACCCATCTTCTGATGGGAATTTCAGCAGGAAAACACACCATGTCACAAAGCTCAAACCATCTCAAACTGGTTTATTGAACATAACAATGAGTTCACTGTTCTCAAATGGCCTCCACACTCAATTGAACAGAGTACCCCTGAGATGTGATGATGTGGAAAAGGAGATTTGTATTACAAATGTCGAGCTGAGAAATTTGTAAAAAGTTTGTGAGACTATCACAGCATGGCCCAAAATCTCTGAGGAATAATTCACCCTATTCTGAAGGCAACCCACCGGTATTAACAAGGTGTAACTAATAAAGTGGCCAGTGGATTTAGATTTGAGGAAAGAAAACTAAAACACCTCCTACTGCAGGTGCTGCGATAACCACATAAATACACATCCAGTTAGAGACCTGTGTTTTGTCCAAACAGTAAAGGACACATGGACAAATGAATGAATTGTCCACGGCATGGAAGAAGACTGATTGTAGGATTGAAGATTCTGGATTGTAAATAAGAGCAGAATAAAAAATATATTAACACTGAAATGTTTTTATCTGCAAACAGATACAAATATGTAAAATGGCATAACTGACAAAAACATGTCTGAGAATTGCCACATGGCTAATGTGAGATAGAAAAAAAGAAGCATGAATCATGCTGCCAAGTACGAAAGCCAAATAAATTCCTCCAGTACTTTTAATGTTTCCATGTTTGACCATACAAAAGTATGATTAAAAAGGTTGTTGTTAACTAAAGTACAAGAATCTCTGCATTTTTTTTTCTCTCTCAGAAGAATTCAGTCCAAATTTCCAAGGTCAATAACACAATGCAGTGAGACAGTGACACAGCACAGCAGTGGAGGTAAGATGAAGGTTTCAATATGTCCCATATAAAGTCTCTAAATGTCAAAATAGGCTGAATTCTTATGACAGTATTGTGGGAGGGCAATGACAAAAGTGAGAATCTGACTTGGTGGAGATGACCACCCCCACCTGTACACTCCAGCAGCAGCCAGTCAATCAGCAAAGTACAGAACTGCAGAGCTTATCTGACAAAATGTAGCTGGAACCTAAAGGATTTCAGTTTTGCTGTTTATTTTCTCTTCCCCCCCAAAAAAATATCAATGATTAACTGTGGAAACATCAACTTTAAAAAGCTTTTGGCTGTGATGATAACTTGTCTCGGCAAAGCTAATTAGACAGTAATTGTCATCCCCAACTGGCAAATGCTACACACTTGAAAGCAAAGCGTGACAGTATCAATAACTGCAAGAAAGAATAATTGGAAATCAACTATTTCATCTAACAGCACAAAAGAAATTCTCTGACAATAAAAAATCACTGATGTGGCCCAAGTTTGTTCAGCGACAACAAAACACGGCCGACTAAAAGTCTAAAAAGTTGCTTCTGTCTTACTCAGAATGAGAGCCGAGCTGAATCTGGCCGACAACAACCACAAAACAACTATTATTTTCTCCCTGTGGTGAGTTTTCTTTTTTAAAACCTTGAATAAATCACAGAGGAATAATGATACGTTCTGTATGCACAATTCAAGCAGAACTAAATATTGCTAATAAAGGTTTTTACAGCTCCACCTTTCAAATGCCACACGCGCACACTCACACGTTTTATAGCTTGGAATAGACTTCTTCACTGACAGCTGTTGAATTGAACTGCCATTGGTCTGGCAGGCGGCACATATGACAAAGGCTCGGAAGACGGCGTCTGAAAATCCGCTCGTTTTAATCAGGAGCTAACAGATGAAATATGTGACAGCTTGTTTCTGTTAATGAAATTGGCATAATCAAAAATCATCACAATCCACTTTGCTTCTAAATTATCTCACTCAATCAAGAGCGAGCACTTTAGAGCCTCTTTTCAAACACTTCTCTCGGCTGTGTTTGCTTAATACTTGGTACCTCTGGACGGCGTGATCCGCTGTAATCCATCCAATTCTGTTGCAAGCGCCGTGTTTGCCGAACACAACAAAATACACGTTTGTAAAGCCGACGCGTTAAGCCAAATGGCGTAAATCGGACAGATTTCGAAGAATACCTGAGAGGATTCCTCATTGAAACGGGACAACAAAACAACCGTCCAACCGTTGTGGAAACAAGGCATCATTTAGTCTGGATACAGTGCGGTTCATGTGTGCACCGCAAGACAAATTACAGCTATCAGCAAACTCTGCTCTGTAAATGCACGCAGCAAACTTGTAAGGGTTATATGTGGAAATGTTGATATCAGCTGCCTCGCGCAGATGAATGACAAAACTCCATGAATATATGAATAAATAAACAAGACAAGAATCTATACTCTGTGGATCTCTCTCTTCCTCTCTCGCTCTCTCGCTGCTCATTCTTTAGTTCTTTTTCCCCACCTAATATTCAGCCCTTCGTCTTTCCTTCAGTCTTTTGCTTTCATGAATTAATGAATAACCTCCAAATCTGAACTGTCTGTATCCATCTTGCTTTCACTTTTTCTTCTTTTATTCATAAATTAGTAATCAGAAAATGTTAGGACAAAAATCCCGCTGTATGAGCTGTGTTTTTTTTCTCCATTCCCCCACACTTTGCTTTCCGCCTCTGAGTCCATTTCTGAGACACTTTGGTCTTCGACTCTTTGGAGATTGGATTTTCTCATGTTTTCTGTTCTTCCCTCATTATGTTCCTCCATCTTCTTCTTTTTCCCCCTTCTTCAGTCCTGCTCTTTGATTGTCTCTTGCCCTCTCTCTTCCATTGCTGCATTTCTTCCACTTTGCCATTTGCAGTTAATCAGCGCTAATAATGATTGCAACTTGGCCTAAGTCCAAACGCACAGAACACACAGACACACATACACACACAATTGCAGCTTACACTAAAGCACTCTCTGAGATGCTGTAAATGACCGGCTCTTGTGTGTGACTGTGTTTGTCGATGTGTGCGCTCGCTGTGTGGGTGATGATTCATGGATTCACAGTAACAGCTACTTATCAGCCTGAGGGAAGACAATGGCATCGCAACAGCTCATCACTCATATTTACTCGGCTCCACACACACAAACAGACACACACACCCCCAGATACACACACATGAAAAACAGTTTTTAACATCCGCTGTCACAGGCACCGGTGCGTTTATTTATTGTACCTGGTGGGACCCCGGTGGAGATGGTGGAGGATGTGACCACGCCCCGTCCTGCAGCAGTGAGCGCAGCCACTTGTATTGTGTACACGGTGGTGGAGGTGAGGCCGGTCAGCTGGTACTGCAGGGTGGAGTTGGGCAAGGAGCGTTCCTCGCGACTTGACTCCACATTCGGCACTTCCCACCACAGCATGTAACCTGCGGGGTGTAGCGCACACGCTGGGTTAATAAAGGCGCATATAGACACAAGCAGACACAAGTACACACACAAGCACGTGTGCAAAAGCGCACACACGTACAAATAATGAGAGGTGCAGAGCCATAAAGGAGGGGAGAGTACAGAAGGGGTAACTCCAGTCAAAATCCTGTCTGTCCCATCGCATCTTTGCAGTCATGCATCACACTCCACCTTCAAATGTGTGTGTGAGTGAGGCCATTTGTGTGTAAAGCCCCGGAGAGAGTGAATGGTCCCTCATCTGTCTCCCTGCTCACCAGGTGCTGGATGAAAAGCAGGTTGAGGAGAAAAGAGTAAATGTGCAAGGTGACCTTGATTGAATACCCATTTTCTCACTCCTCTGAGTGTGTATGCTGACTGGAAAGCCACTGCTCCCTGTGCTGTCGGGTTGTGGTCCTGTGGTGGAGGTGCTGGATGAATGTTGGACAACAACACAAAGACGCAAACGTGTAATGTAGAGTTATCGCTTAATTCACAGCAGCTTGTTGTGTTCCCCATTGACTAACAGAGCCAAGGAGGAAGTAGGGCTAAATTAATCTGGGGGAAAGTGCCTTGAGCTCTGCGATGTGGTGCACAAACAAGACCACGGGTGTTGGGAGGCGTGGGATGAGGGCATGTTCGAGACAAAAAGAGGAGACAAGCTGCAAAGGGAAAGGATTAGCTGATGATGAATCAGTTACACACAAACGTCTTCTTAGAGATGGGGGACAGTAAGAGACTAAGTGGAGGAAACTGAAGAAACTATAAAGAGAGGGGATGCTTTTATAAATTCACTTAAATTGGTCATTTGAGAAGATTACTTATCTCATCAAAAATGTGGGTAAAGGGGGGAAATTATTAGCGGCTATCTGCAGTTTTGTTTTGCTCCTTTAGTTTTACTGTCACGTTGCAAAGATCTAACCGGTGATGATGCCGTTCTTATCTTCAGGTTCTGCCCAGCTGACTCTGAGCGATGTGTCCAAGATTTCAGTGAAGCTTACACGGCGAACACGTCCAGGGGCTGAAAAACAAAACACACATACACACACGCACAGTGATGTGGATCAGGCAATTTTTGATTGCAAACAAGCACACATCTCTGTCGTACACAGCATATTACCTATGGCCTATGACTTCACAAGCCTCTTCCTAATCACATTGACCAACACACAGACACACACACACAGGTGGGTGCAACCCTGCCATTTCTCATTTCATCAATCGCTCTCTAACCCCTTCTCCCTGCAGAGCGATTAAGCTATTCATCTGAGACATTCAATAACTCTTATACACTCATACTCGTGCACACACACACACACAAACACACACACAGGCGGATGCAAAAAGCTATCATCAAGCAAGAATTACACCCACCGTTAACCCTGCCGACACGCCCAGCAACCAATCAATAACTGGCCACTGCTGTGTATGTGTGTATGTGTGTACGGTACATATGGCTACTAATATCCCTTTCCCACTCAATAATTACTGGTTGGTAATAATTGCTCGTCTGCCTGCCTATAGGCTATTGTGTTTATTTGATGGAGTGATGGTGTGCATGTGCACTTGTAGCTGGGAGTTGCAGCTATTATGTTTATCCATGGAACAGTGGGCTATAAATACCACTAAGCCTGAAAACATATGAGTCAATTCCCTTTAGAAAGACACAACGTAGAGAAAAAAATAAATAAATAAAAGGGAACCGGGAGACGTCCGGGGAAACTAAGAACAAAGAAATTAAAAATGAGTGAAAGGCAACTAAGAGCCTGAAAGAAAGCAGTGAGTGCAGGTGTATTGTGTTTGCTGGGTATTGTGTACACAGCTGTGTATCACACTGATAAAAACAGCTGGACTGAACGGAGAGCTAGCTAATGCACTTTTATTATTATTCACAGGGGAGTTCTTTGTGTTGTTTGCTGGCTTTATTCACGCTGTTGCTCATGTGTTGTGTCTGTGCATGTGTGAATACTCACTGTCCTCATGCGTCTGCACCAGAGTGGGCGGGCTACGGGGACCATCTCCAGGCGTTGTGAAGCAGAGGGTAGAGCCATAGTACCAGGTGAATTTCTTGAGGCCGCTGACCAACCCTGTGTGGCGTGAACTGGGGTAGTCTGGGGTGATGGTTACTATAGTAACGTCCTCTGGAGACTGCTCTGGCCACACTAGCAGCTGTGGAAAATTAGAAAAATTGTCATTAGTGACAGCAATAATAGTCAATGAATCCAACGTAAGTCCAGCAGGTCACCCCAGAACCCGAACTGTCCATCAGAGTTATATTTCCACTATTTTTGTCATTTATTTTGACTCAGCAGCTCCAGGCTACTGGATCCATTATTGGGAGCGCATTTATGAAAGAAAACTTATTTGTACCACAGTATGGGACACAGTGGATCTTTTCAAATTAGAATGATACCCGAGAGTTTTTGTCATTAAAGTTTAAAACTGCCAAATGCTACTGGCAAATCTGACAAACAACTAAACAATAAACATGTTTTATTCTCGAGAAAAGTTATTTGCATTCCAAACAAGCATACTTTTTATTTATCAGTGTAGCACTTCTAAAGTCTTGCCAGCAGGCCGTTGTCAATCACAGCAGCATCTGAGGATATACGCTAAGTTTGACAATCAGTCTAACTAAATGCCTAATGAAAGGTTAATTCATCTTTATAGTGAGACTTCATTTATATTCAGAACCCACTGCAGCCTGGCTTGCGTTATTGCTTTAACCACAAAAACAAACAGTGAAAAGCAAACACTCACATATTCATAATGAGAGATAAGCCACGGGCAACACTATGATGGGGTGCCCATATTGATAGACCCTAATGAAAAAATAAATAACTGGCTAAAATGTGGACAGAACTGAATCTGAATGCAAAGCTGCATCTGAACTGTGCTTTGTACAGATGAAACCAAAGTGGAGATGTTTGGCACGATGCCATAATTGGAAAAAAATAAACCAAAAAACCCCCACAGCATATCAGCACAAACACCTCAGTCATGATTTGGGATTATTCTGCAGTCACAGGACCTGAGCACCTTGCAGTCACTGAGTCCATCAACTCCTCTGTACTGTATACCAAAGTATTCTACAGTCAATTTGAGTCCATCTGTCTGACAGCTACAGCTTCACAAATCTGCAACAGAAAGGCTGAAAAAGTAAAGAACCAAGGTGTTGCAATGGCCCAGTCAAAGTCCAGAGAGCTGTCCATAAATGAATATCCACAAACCTCAATGAACTGAGGCAACACTGTAAAGAAGAATGGACCAAACTTCTGCACAATAATGTCAGAGGCCAATAAAGTCATAGAGAAAACAATGCTGCACAAGCTGCTGTCGTTAGCTGTTCTCTGGACTTTTTGTTTTTTACTTGGCTGTGTGAGTTTGTCAGTGTGGTAGTACACAACTGTCCACAACGGAGTCACAAAATGTCGAAGGTATACAACCAAAATCAAGATGAAGACCACATTTTCAGATATGTGCAGTAATAATGACTGCTAAGTGTGGCTCTGAAAGTCAACATGCCATTGAGGCCGGTGTGATTCTTTGGCAAAATAGCCTCTATATGTCAGCATTTGATGACTGAAAAAACTCTGACCTGCATGCACAATGCCTCGCTGCTCTGTTGTCTTTGTGAGCTCTGCGATGTGCTGCCTCAAAGGTTCAAGGCTTTTTTTTTTAGGTTACAGTATTTTCTCTTATAGCTACACTGTTAATTGGACAACATGCTTGTGTCTAATGTCACATCGTGCTACCAGCATCGATGCAACTTTCTCCACTCAGTTACTACTGTGCATGAACAGCACATCTGCTATTTATTCAGAGAAAATGTCTCATGCTTGTTAACCATGCTGGTTTTTGGGGTGTTGTGGATTATAGCAGCACATCCTCTTGACATTACTTACTTACATGTTTCACTTAAAACAGCACAGTGGGACAAGCTTTCCAAAAACTCACCTCTATAGCTCCGTGGATCTAAACGCATTAAGTGAAAAAGAAATCTTTCGGATTACTACAGTAAAGGATCTGCTGTGCACATTGTATCACATCTAGCTGCAACAGGACACCAGCTCAAAAAAGCTTTGCTTTTCCTCCTAAAGGGTGCACCACTGCACCCAGTGTGTCACAGTAAAAC